GATCATAAATGTCAATCTGTCAGGAGACTGTGATAGGTTCTAAAAAAACTGATTGAGTACCTCAAAAGCTGTCATAGAGCCTGAGATTAAACAGATTCATCTTTCTTTCTTAGAAGTGAGGGAAGGTGTGGGTGAAGTGAATAGAAGGCTCCCTTCTCTTTGTTGCCATGGTGCTTCTCCCACTCTCCTAATCTCTGAGGATTGGCTGTGCCAAGGGCTGAGAGCTCACCTGAGTTGTCAGAAGGCCACAGTCCGTTAGCAGCCCCGGGTGTGCGGGCTGCCAGCTGCACAGTGACGGGAGATTAAGAGAGATGGGGATTCAACTCTGACAGGCCTGACACAATTTATTTGGAAATTTCTGGGAGAGAACATGAGTAATAAAGACAAGAAAAGTGACAGTAAGGGACAAATGTGAATGTCTGTCAGAGACAAAACAGAATTTTAAAAGAAATAGCTCTGTTTGTTGTCTCCAGTCAAGCTTTCCAGTTAAACTGTTTCCGAATTAACAGTCTTACCACTATTTTCAGCGATTTGGTAGTAAAGTACAATTAGAAGAATTGCTCTCTTCAGAAGATTAATGTGTTTTAAATAAAATCACTGTGCTTGTTTCTCTGTCACAAATTAAGCACTAGCTACCTTCAAATCTAGGGATCTGATAGGTAAAATACTTTTTCAAAGATTTTTCGTTCTAGGGTAATCACATTGTAATTCTTGCTCAGACTTTCCTTTGTCTAGAAGACCTGATATGATATTATTCTCATTCTGTTAAATTTAGGCAGAGGAAGAAAGGGTCTAGTAAGTACCAAGAACTATGAACCTGGCATGGGAGTGTGGCAGCTCTTGTGTGGGTATATACAGACTGGATTACGTTCTCAAGCAAAAGCATACTGGGGGGAAATGTGCTTTGCTGGCCCTTTATGAAAGATCTTAATTAGAAATCACTCGTAATTCCTGGGGTGGGGACAGTTTCTAGCTTGCCACTACAGCTCCGCCTGCTGCTAATGAGCATGCTCCTTGCGAGGACTCGTTTTTTCTGACAGTTAAAGCTGCGTGTAAGAGTTATTTCTGTTCACTTTTCTCTCCATATTTAACCCTTACTGCCCAAGTTCAGATTAAGCAAGTAGATGGTTAGTTGTTTTCTGTCGTTGTTGAGGAAATTAAAAGTGCTGCAGGGTAACAAATTATGTTTGTGAGCAAAAAGTAAAGAATCAAAGTTTGATTTATTCGAATATGGACTGTAGATGAGTATTCCTTTGTGTAACCATGTTTGGATCTTTTTTAATGGACATAAAATTTATAATTGAATAGTTGAATTATTTAGTTCATTATTATGTAATTAGACTCCTTGCCCTGGACATCTGTTTCTCTTATTTAGGCAACTCACCCCATGGCACATAGTTTCATTAAATAATTAGCAGAGGAGATGTAAATTTCTTATGCAGACATGATGATGATCCTGTAGACCACTCTTTATTTCATTAACTTCTAATTGAAACAGCAGGTTGGCTTGTGAGAAAATGCCAAGGAATTGTTTGCTTCACCAAGAAGTGATGCATAACACAGTCACCTCCCTGGATGGCATCGAGTGGAGGATGGTGATGGTAAACCATTTAGGGAGTTTATTCTCCCTCCCTCTTTGTGGTAAGGGCATTAGAGGGCACAGGATTCCTTTCCATTTAATAGACCCTGGACTGAGTGAAGAAGGTTAATTGGACATATTCCAGAGCGTAAAAATTATGGATTTCTTAATGTCTAGGGACAGCTCCTTGATTCTAAAAAATAACATTCTGGTAAACAGTGTGTGCGTCTTGGTTTAGAATCATGGGAGGACTGCTTCCCATGCCTCAGATTTTCTGTATGCTGATGCCTTTGGTCTGAGACTTGTGCGCTGCTGGGACATTGACTCTCCGAGGGCTGACTAGCGCTGACAGTGCAGCCAGACGCTCTTGGCAGCATCAGAAACCTCTCTTAGGACCCATTATTTCAGGAATGTCCCGGGCCTTCTGCTACCAGAACAAATAACTCAGTAGTCTTTATCTATAATGTCAAGTGGATAAAAGAATATTTCAGCATGAGATCAAGCAGACTTAGTCCTTAGTTTTGTTATTGAATGCTCATTGGCCAGACAAGGTGGAGCATTAGAAGAAAAGAGATTAGGCTTGGACATGCCTCCTCATGTTGGGGGGCCCTATCAAGTGGATGGTTTGGTGATGACCAATAATGATTATGTAAATATAAATTCTGTCTCCCAGTCTTAGGAATCATACATTTTAAAATATGTTCTTCATATATCATTCCCTGGCTTATTTAAGAAATACCTATGGTAGCATTGCCACTGAAAGAAAATTGTCTTCTTGTAGCAAAGGTTTGCTTTAGAAATGGAGATGGTGCTATGCAGGTAGACAGCGAATTTGACAGTTTGGGACAGATTCATGTGAAAATTGGCTTTGTGAGTTCTGCATTTCTAGACACACTCGGTTTTATCAGGTAGCAATGTGAATGACAGGCTTGTGGTCTGAGCACGCCTTTTTTATGTTAGAGGTGTACTGGCATCATGTCAGGGCCTTTTAAATTTTAATAATATTAATAAATGCCAAGCCAAGGATTCCACTGCCTCCCCTTCTCAGGTGGGCCCTTCTCTTCTCCACCCCGCCCACCGGGCTTGAGCGGTAATTTCTTATAAGGATGTTACAGATTTAGGACCTTGTCTCAGGAACAAATACCATTTTTTTTTTTTGTTATAGCTTTTACTCTAGAATTTTCTCTTTTTGTTGCCAAAACTGGGGGGGCGGGTGTCTAAATAGGGTTATTAATATAAATAGCGCCATTGCTGGTTTGTGAAAAAGGACCCCCAAAGAGCAGTGTGGCTCATGCAGGGTGAGTTCCTTTTGGCTGGCTGCTTTGTAATGATTTACATTTAGATTGTTGCTTGTTGCTCTTGTAGGGGAAAGGAGGGGCCTGGTGTGTCTGTACCTGCCTCAGTCATCACACTGACTAGGTTTGGACAGCTTCTCTCAGCAGAGCTTGGAAATAGGTTGAACTTGCTTTCAATTGTTTTCATCAAAGGCCTTGTTTAGTTGGTTTGTATTTGGGGAAAATGTCATGTAGGACTGGAAGAACTAAATGAGATGAAAAATGAAGTTTACAATTGCTAAGAATAGTGCGTGCCTTCCACTTCCGTAAGTCAATGCACAGTGCCATGGGCTGGGGGGCTGTGAGCGAACTGTCACCATCGTCACTATCGGAACCAGTGACTGCTCTCTGATGAAGTGCAGCATCTTCTTCACACAGAGGGAGAAGGCTGGGGAAAGGGATGCAGACAGCCTTCATTGAAATGCATCCAACTGTCTGCTGCTTCTCACTAGAGCCACTTGAAATAGAAAATCAGGACTGCCTAGGAGAAGATTCAGTCATTCAAGAAATATATATTGAGTTGTAGGCATGGAGGGCACATTAGTGAACAAAGCAGGTGAAACTTCCTGCCCTCCAGGAGTTTACATTCTCCTGGGAGATAGTGTTAAAAGTGCTATGGATGAATACAAGGGAAATGCTAGGGATGGGGGGACAAGAGTGGTCTAGATAGGGTGATCAGGGAAAAAGACTTCATTGAACAGGGTGCTCACTTTGTAAGTTATATAAATGTCTAATCACTACACCTGAAACATGATATTGTATGTCAACTGTAATTTCAAAATACATTTAAAAAGAAAATGTGGCTTAAAAGAGGTTAGATCCCATATAGATCTGGGTGAAGAGTGTTCCAGACAGAGGGAGCAGAAAGTGCAAAGGCTCTGACGTAAGAGACAATAAGGAGGCCAGTGTGGAGAGAGCAGAGGGAGAGAGCAGCAGGAGATGAGGTGAGAGAGATGAGAGGAGGGCACCTCAGGCAGGGACTTTTGAGGGCCTCAGGTAAGAATCTGAACTTTTATTCTGAGAAGGGGAGCTGAGAAGGAAGGGGTTGTAGGCAAGGAAGTGAAGTAATTCTAACTTGATTTTGAACTGGATCGATTGGCTGTTGTGTGGAGAATATACTGTAAGGAGGTGAGCAGGAAGACCAGTTAAGCAGCTGTTTCGCTAGGCTGGGCGAGATAGTGATGAATTGGACCAGTGTTGGAGGTGGTGGAGGGGTGAAAAGTGGTAGGATCTGGATCTGTTTTTAAGGAAGATCATTCAGGAGATTCCCTTCCAGAGGTGCTTTAGCACAAACCACTTCAGAGCCTTGGCAAGGGGTGCATCCTCAGTATGCAGTGGGGGCACTTCCAGGAGCACAGAGCCCCCAAGTGCTGCTCTTTTTTGGAAGGCAAGAGTTATTTACAGCCTGTCTATAACATGAACTTTATTGCATTTTAGTTACTTTTTAAAGTCATGGGAAATACAAGTTCATTACACCTCCCTCCACCTGCCAATTTGGCACCAACCCTAGGGTGTGTTGTGGTACCACATGTTGCCTCTGTACCACTCCACAGTGGAGGCCCTGGGGCAGCTCTTTGATAAATAGGCAGGGATATACTCCTTAACTCTAAATACAGTTGAAATGATTTCCAATATTAGAAACTGATTCTTGTCTGTTTAGGAGTAGAAACATGAGTATTTTTGCTAGAAAAGATTATAGATCCCCCATCAAACACTGGCTTTAAGTATGGAGTTATGCTAAACATGGCAATACAAAGAAGTACTAGACATAGTCCCTTCTCTAAAGAATTACCAGTTTGAATGGTCTCATAGAGACAACCATTATTAAAAACAACAGATTTTTGTGGAGCCACCCCCACTCTCCTCTTGGTTCAGATCTAGCTCATCAGAAGTCAGCCCTGAAGGTTCATGCTTGTCACACTTTGTGGAGTAGAAACCACGCCAGTCAGAGCTGGCTGTTGCTTACACAGGTCCAATTCCTGGAAAAGGGCAGTAGCCTGGTCAGAAGAATGCCTGGCACACATTAATCAGCTGTGCTTGCCAGGCCAAGCACTAACCCTGACCCCCAAATGTGTTGTTTTGGTCAGATTCACAGTCTGAGAATGAGGCTTCGCCAGTGAAACGGCCACGACTACTGGAGAACACTGAACGATCCGAGGAAACCAGCCGATCTAAACAGAAGAGTCGACGTCGGTGCTTCCAGTGCCAAACCAAACTGGAGCTGGTGCAGCAGGAATTGGGATCGTGCCGCTGTGGTAAGCATCTTCCCCAGGGACGTGATGGAGACGGTGTCCCTGGAAATTATTCTAAGAGGCTGAACTCCTTTGTTCTTCTTCTGGAAACCTCCCTGAGAGCAGTAGGTGTAGAGTTTGAGAAATCAGGAGTAGAGGATTTTTAGTTCTAAGCACATACAAAGAAGCAAAAACACTCCCCATTATTTTGTCACATGTCTTTAGAGTTGCATTGTCATTGCTTACTGCTTTAACGTCTTCCATTGATTACTCTGGTTCCTTCTCATTGATGACTTATTTAGAAGTTAACCAAACCAGCCAAATTCTGGGATATGTACTATAAAATTCAGATAGTAAATTAATTCTGAATGAGCCTTTTACTATGTATAATAAATGCAAGATTTCTTCTCCCATATCCTTTTTAAATTAGTTTGATTAGAAAATTATTTTCTTTGAACTGTAATTCATTGTCACTTAACCCCTTGAATAACTTTAAGGTAGCTTCTTCTTCTGTATTATCTATCCAGTGTAATACCAACTCTTAGAATTGCTGCACAGAGATGTATTTTTAAAAACTTTATGTGTACCCACATAGAACAAAACTTAGACCAATCACTCCTCTCCCTTCAACCACACATAATTGTAAAGCTGCAGCATTTAGGCCGAATTAGAGTTTTTCTGTTCCTGTTCTTATTTCCTGATTTAAAGCTTAATATTACAAAACTGTTCTATGGGACAGAGCTGTCACCAGGCCAACTTTGAGGCCTAGGTCTAGCCTCTGAGAATTCTATATCCTTGTCCTTAGGAATGAGCTTAAGAAGCTTCCTTTCACCCCTGGGATAGCCATAGATATTCTACAAGTACTGACGCTGGCAACCAGGACTAGATGGTTCTTTCAGCAGCTAGAAAGTTACAGGGACTCCAAGTCCTTTATCTTCTAAAGACGAAGCTGTTGCTGCTCTTGTCCCTCAGTCATCTCCATTGGGAATGAGAAGGAAACAAGGGAGTACTAGCTTCTCATGGAAACTAATTTGGAACTCCCGTTTCTGTCTGTCTGTTGCACACTTTTGTGTGTGTGTGTTGGGGAGGGGGGAGTAACAAGATCAGAAGCATATATTCAACTGCAGGAATGGGACATTTGATGGCAGCATGGGGAGTCTAGGTGTCAATGGACAAGTTTTTATTTCTAGATTGGCATTTAGTTTTCTCCTAAATGCTTGTTTGAAAGTATAAAGAGGAGGGTTGGGTAAGAGTTGGGGGCAGAGGCTATCAGCAGAGCTTTCACACTTCAGTTGTGTTCATGCATGTGGCATGGCCCAGGTGAGCCCAGAATTTTACTGATAGACTGCTCCTGGGTCAGCCCTCCCAGGTAATTTTAAATTCTTGATGAGGTAAGGAGGGAATACCATGGTAGATAAGGAAACTCTGGGGCCTGATGGCTAACCACCTTTGCCCACATTGCAGAGTTCGATCTTTTGTCATGCCCTTTTTGCTTTGGTCTTCATGTGAACTATGGGGGGCGGGAGGGCAGTTCAGTCCATTACCAGAGTTGCGAAAGCTACTTGACCATTTTTGCCTATTGCTTCTATAACACAGACCTTTGGTTGTTCCTAAATTAGAATCATGAGATTTTCCTGTACCTTAATGTTCATTTTTCCTTCTGGAAAGTAACTGAATCCTGGGTACTAAAAAGGATTTGCTTTAGTGGATCAAGCAGTTGGTCCTTGCATGTTCCATCTTGCCTCTGTCATAATACCTCCTCTCCTTGTCAGGCCAGCAGTAAGAATTCCCAGGTTAGCGCTGAGAAATCCAGAGGTGTTATAACCAAGTCTCCCAGCTTACCCTTCAGCTTGGATGCAAACCACCTATTTTCCTAAGGTCTTCTGCACTGCTAAAAAAAAATCTAGAAATACATCACATGCTTCTAAGTGAAGCCAACTTAATTGTCTCTGGTAAGCGTGGATTACTCTGTTGTGCTCTTCACCTCTTTGGATAGGAGGCTGATTTCTGAGTGCCTATTGGGTTTGCAAAAGACATGCATTCTTTTTAAAGGATATAATACCTAATCCCTTGGCTTATGCCCAGTTCTGAGGACCTGCTTATGGAGAGATTTGATTTTTCTGATGGGGAAGAAAGTTCCGAGCTTCCTGCAGTCCCTCCGGATGTAGCCTTCCCAGAGGCAGCCAGGAATTCCATTTGGCCCACTGAGAGCATTACACTTCTGTGCCCAGAAAAATGACCGAGTCCACTGCCACATTTCAAAAGATGAAGGACAGCAGTGGGAACATACACTTCTGGGACTGTCTTTGACAAATAGCTGTTGTGTTCCTCCTGCCTGTCTGCTTGGATCTCTCCAGGAAAGGGTGAGTTGTATAGTTATTTCCTTGAGGATGCATGGAGTGTTAGAGAGACATTTAACTGCCCTGAAAGGTTTTGGGGGGGGGGGGGGGGGCAGTAATTTACTACTGAAAGTGACGACTCAGGAAGGTAGTTTGAACTCAAACAGCACACTTCTCCACTGCAGAAAATGTTATATATATATATATATATATATATATATATATATATATATATATTCACAATCTTTTTTGCCATTCCCCTTCAACTCTGTATAGGTTATTAACTGCTGACAAGAAATTCACATCTCATAAATAATGCTTAAGAGCCATTGCTATATAAATTGAATGTGTTATGAATTGTGATGGGCCTTTTTGTAGCATTCGATGCCTAGAGCAGGAAGAACAGAGGATGTCATTTTCATTAATTTCTAATGAGGTGCCAATTAAAGACAGGGAAGACGCTCCAAAGGGAAGAGTGGCCAAGCTCCCCTGAATCCTCTGCCCTGGGGCTGTCATACAAACACTGCCAGCAAGCCTTCTCTAAAAATTCCATTAAATTACAGTCTCATGGAGTGCACACACAAACACATTCAGCTTCCCTTTGATCTTCAAAAGAGCAATTTGTAAGATGAGTTCGGAGCCTTCTCACATAGGGAACAGCTAGAGGTGGTAGGAATTGTTAATTGCCAAGGCACTCCATGGGCTTTCAATAAATAGATGAATTTTGAAGATGAATCCTCCTCTGCCTCTCTGTGACTAGATAACCTTTAAGTCAACAATACCAAAGCAACACCCTTTTCTGTAAAATCTTTCAGGATGCCAATTAGAAAAGGCATGTGGTGAGGCTGGGACTGTATCCTCCATCCTAGAGTAACTTCAACAGTTTAACTTCTCAAGATAGGAAACAGTTGCATAAAAATGGATTTATTTGTTTCATTTTCTATTCAGTAGGTAAATTGATCAGCTCATTCTCTTTATAGGAGTCTTGTCTTTCCAGATGCTACCTAGAGGGTGTTCTTCTGAAAACTGGCCATCCTCATCAAATCTGGGCCCATCTCCGCCGCATGAATGCTGTGTTTCCAAAGCAGATCTTTCATGATACACACAGCATGGCTTTTTAATGGCTGTGCATTGCTTCCCAGAACCACAGAATTAATTTTTAAATACTAGTCCACTAGCTTACATAAGTTATTGCATGTTTTTAATGGATAGTGACTTAACAAACCGTAAGCTGATAAGATCCCTTTTGGGACAACAGTGCTTTTACTAACCTGAGTAATCTGACTTTCTTTATTGCTTTTCAAATAAATTTTTTATTTACTTTAGAAAGTCAGAGTGATGCTTTAGCTGGGACCTTTAGAGTATTCATCTCCAAGTGCCCCAGTTCTCATTTCTGCCTTATCATTCACTGTCAGACTAAATTGAGCAAGCATTTATTGAGGTATGAGAATGCACAAAGCAATTTGCTAGGTTTTGTGGAACTATAGGAGCTGGATATACAGATTGTTGAAGCTCATAGTCTGGGTCAGTGGCTTCAAATTTTAGTGGGCATCAGAATCACTTGGAGGGTGTGGTAAAACAGAGTTGCTGGGCCCCACCCCCAGGGGTGCTAGTTCAGTAGGCCTGTGAATGTCTAACAAGTTCCCAGGGAGGACCATGTTTTGAGAACTGCTGTTCTAGGCAGTTCTCAATCCTGGGAAGCTTTTTAAAAATAGAATATCTGGGCTTTATTCTAAACAAATCAGAAAAGGTTTCCAGGTATTGTCTTTAACTTTTTTTCTCCCTTTAGTTCTGTTTGTAGTTGCTTTATATATTTTGGTACTCCCTGATTGGGTGCATATATATTGAGAAGTGTTATGTCTTATTGATGTTAGTGTATCCTTTATTATTATTTTTTTCTTCTTTCTTGGTGCCGTGACTCAGATCTGAACCGAGGTTGCTGTGGTCACTACCCTTCATTAGTATGAAACATCCATCTTTGTCGTTTGTTACCCTTGTTATCTTGAAATCTATTTTGTCAGATGTAAGTATGACTATTCCTGCTTTTCTGGGAATGCCTTTTGCTTGGAGAATCATTTCCCATCCTTTCACTTTGAGTCTTTGCAGCTTCGATGTGTCTCTTGAAGCATATGGTTGTGGGTTTTGTGTTTTGTTTGTTTTGGGGTTTGTTTGGTCCTCACCTGCGGATATGTTTTTATTGATTTTCAGAGAGAGAGGAAAGGAGAGAATGAGAAAGCAGTATTGATGTGGGAGAGAAACCTCAATTGGTTGCCTCCCACACATGCCTCGGCTGAAGATCGAACCTGCAACCTTGGTATATGCCTTGACAAGGAATAGGACTTGCAAATTTTTGAGCCAGTTGAGCCACCCAGCCAGGGTGAGTTTTGTTTTTTGATCCAGTCTGCTATTCTGTGCCTTTTTATTGGTGAACTCAGTCCATTTACATTTAGGATAACTTGTTAATGTATGAGGATTTCCTGTAGCCATTTTATCTTTTGTTTTCTGGTAGCTCTGTGTCTCCATTGGGTCTTTTCCTTTGTGTTTCTTTTTTCTTTTTTTTTTTTTAATATATTTTATTGATTTTTTACAGAGAGGAAGGGAGAGAGATAGAGAGTTAGAAACATCGATGAGAGAGAAACATCGATCAGCCGCCTCCTGCACACCCCCTACTGGGGATGTGCCCGC